CCTGTCCAGGTTTCATCTCGCCTGGTGTCAGGTGGGATTGGCTCCAGCCCCCCCCCAACCCCCGCGACCCTCGTTAGGATAAGATATATAGATTTCCTCATTTTGATTTGTTTGTTTATAGGCGCTCGTGTTAAAAAAGTTCGGTTCCCGGAAGATGCTGCAGAGTGACAGCTCTTCGCTTTACGCCCCTCACTGGTGAAAATCGTTCCACTACGTCAAGTCGTCCCGTCCGCGCGGTGAAGATGTCTGCGACGGGTACAGGCGGCTGTGGACCAGGACCCGGACCCACCTCGGGCACCGGGTCCGGGGCTTCCAACCCCCGAAAGTTTAGCGAGAAGATAGCACTGCATACCCAACGGCAGGCTGAGGAGACAGCCGCCTTCCAGGAGGTTATGATGGACATTACCTCGACCAGGGTGAGTCTGAGACGGATGGCAGGAGGAGGAGAGCTGTCCGGAGGAAGACAGGCCTTGCCTGGGCTTCTCAGGCTCCAAGATCATGATAACTGCTGCCTCTACAGGGCACTCTGCTTAGATTTGGTACATTTATAGCGAATATCAAACTAAGACGACAACGTCTACAGTTTTTGTTGGCTCCACAGTGAATGCAGACAGTGTTGTTGCTTCTTGTTGTCCATTTCCGATACGTAGTTAGCGCAGCTAGCAAGCTGTTAGCTACGGGGGCTAACTTGGCTTGTTTACTAAGTTACATGAACGTCGCTGTCATCCTGCTAGCAGCAACACGGAGAGAACGCCCCACTCTACTCCTTTAAAAAATCTGGCATTTCAGTGCTGAGTTAGTTATAGTTACGCTTATAGTTAACAAGTAGAACATAAACTCAAACATTTTGCGATTTATGATGGTCTTCTGGTAAATTCGGGATTCAAGTGAGGCACGTAATAGCAGTTGATTTGACGACAATGATACCTAAATATAGAAAGGGATTTTTTTTATTTATTTATTTGGAGCATTTTTACCTATTTGAACACTAGAACCAAATGATGCATTTACGGACTACAATTTGTGATTTTATTTGGCGTACGTCTTTACCTAATACCCTTTGCTTTATATTGTCCTGTTTCAATAATGGAATTTGGCGTCACGGTTTTCACATATTAGGACGCGATTATCGGGGTTTTTCTCAGACGGATTAATTTAGTAGTGATTAATAGCTGGAGCAAAGTGGCTGGTTTCAGCCTGTATAGACAACCTGCAAGTAGGTCCTTAGCAAAAAGAGGAACTTTATTTTATTTCTTTAACCTTATTTTGCCCGAATCAAAACAAATGCAAGTAGCTTAATACAGACACATTCACTACACCTTCTCTTTAGGCAATCCTAAAATGTAAATCATGAATATAATTAAACCCCCATGGCACATAATAAATAGAACAGACAAACGGTAAAAATGTCAGACCTAACAAAGACCAAGAGATGATGATGCAGCATAGATGTTCCTGCAGCAAAGCTTTAAAATAACTAAACTGAATGTAAGGTCATTTATAGGAGGACAGCAGAGTCTTCATTGACCACAGTGACACCAGGAGCCTGATCCACCAAAAGAGATTCAAGTAAAGAGTTTCCAGGACATAAACAGACTAACAGGTGATCTACCTGGTTTAAGCAACAGTCTGTGGTGATTACAAAGGAAAAAATAAACTCAAAGCGTAAACAAGGGGTCCAGGGATGACTTGTGTCTCAGAGTCGGTGTGGATTGACATATTTGATAGATTTGAAGTCTCTCTGCCTTGTGAGACAAGCGAGTGACAGACCTGCAGCTAACCGTTGTGATGACAGTATTGCGGAGATTGTTACATCTGTTCACCGTTTCTACAGTGAGAGCATCTTTGTGCTGTTTGGCAGTTGCACCCAGGGTGACCTTTGGAAAAAAAAAGTCAGCTGCGCCCTAAATAAATTTGGTCACAAAATGAGACTGATCACTCACAGTCTGGAGCCCTGAGTGTGCTGAAGCTCGATTGTCTTGGTAAAGGGTAAAGTTAGGACACAGTAGAAATCCCTCCTCATGGTTTCTCCTGGGGTTAAACCTGCACCAGGTCTGGTCCTTGCTGTGATGTTTACCATCTTCAGTTTGGAACATTTACTCTACGTGTAGCTGTGTATAATTTTGATGCTTTATTTATTTGATGCTTTATGATGTCATGGGGTAGGACTGGATAAGTCTGACTTCTTCCTACTCCATTCAAACATGTAATATGTGTATTGTGTAAAAACAACAGCCATTGCTGGTTCAAGCTTCACAAATGCAGAGCATCAGCTGTTTCCTCTGGTGCAGGACTGAGTAGTGTTTGGCTCTTCAGTCAGGCTGCATGTTATCGGACAGTATTCCTGCACAAGGGTGCACAATGATTCACAATATAATCCACAAGCTCCTTCAGGTGTGATGATGTTGTGTTGGTCATGCGCACCAAGTTGAGCGCTGCGTGTCAGTAGACAGACATTCCCCATCTGTAAGAAGGATTGCTTTTAGGCAGTACTGCATGTTAATATGATCAGTGCACCGGTGTGATAAAGTACTTTATCAGGGATTTGACTCGTTGGATTTAACAAACCAGGCATTCTTAGCTATTTGTTTTATCTAATAACAATCAACAGTAAATCATCTGTAAACACTTTGATGAATTGTCAAATAAAAATGCCAAACGTCCGTGGATGTAGCTTCTCTAATCAGACTGTTTAACGTTTTCTGTGATCATAAACTGAATATGTTTAGGTTGCAGATTGTAGGTTGGACAAAACCAGATAATATGTCAAAATTACCTAAAATGTTTGATCTCGTGAAATGGAGGATTTTTTCTTTGTCGTACGAAACTTGGCTGACTTCCAAACTGAGTATCTTTGGGGTTTGGACATTTGGTCAGGCGAACAACATGTGGGAAACAAAATAGGCATGTTTTGCTATATTTTTTTTACAAAACAGTGAGTCGCATAATTGAGAAAATAATCATCACAATCAGTAACAAGTCACGCACAGGTTCAGTGATGGCGAACATGGTTGTTATCTGCAGCTTCATGTGAGATTCAGGCTTCTGGCGCATGCACCTTCAGTCACAGACAATACCACTCTCCTGGGCTCTGGCTCTTCTGGGAATTCCTCATGCCCCTGTCCTTCATGCACACACACACACACACACACACACACACACGCAGGCGTGCTGCTGCAAGAGTGTGTGGGTGGTCCAATCAGCTAATAGCATCAAGGTGTGCGTGTCGGTGGCAGCAGCAGCTTCACATCAGAGCTGTTCAGTGCTGATATGCTGAAACATCAGACTGTTTCGTTCGATGGAAATCAGAGATGCACAGCAACTCCACAGATTCAGTGCATCTGTTTGATGTAGTTTAATACAACAGCCCTCCAATAAATCCTCCTTTACTGCAGATGTAGCTTGTGCTGCTGCTGAATTGTGCTGGTTTTGTTAGCTATAAGAAGAAAAAACTTTATTTTGTTGTCATTGTAACATGTACAACGAAATTTTGTTTGGAGCCGAGGGCCCCAGGCCGCCATCACGGGCAACTTGGGGGGGGTTTCAGTGTTTTGCCCAAGGACACTTCAACATGTGGACTGCAGGCACCAATATTCAAACCTTCTGCCTTCCGGCGGGGTGAGACGACTGCTCTACCAACCACACCACTGAACAGCAGCAATAACTGCAGCCTCCACAGTGATCACACTGAAACAGTCTGAACACAAACTAAACATCATCGCTTTTGTCAAGGAGGATTTAGGGCAGCACTGCTGGGTTAGACTGCCTCAGTCCGAGATGGGTTGGCACATAAGCTTGTCCACATTTTGATTTTACTGTTGTAGAAGGTTCCTATAATGTTATTGTTATGTTTCAGGAGTGGTGATGAAACAGTGTTTTCTGTGGTTTGGTTAATTGGTCTGTATTTAGTGCAGTGTTTGTTTTATTCAGTGCATTGCGTTAGTCAGTCCTGGAAGAAATACTCAGATCTTTCAGTAAAAGCAGCATTCAGAGTGTTACTTAAATACATAAAGGCAACTGTGGTTTGGTGGGTAGAGCAGTTGTCTCCCAACCGGAGGGTCCAACGCTGTGAGACGCTCTGAGTCGCCACTCTCTCTCTCAGAGCTGCTCTGCACAGTCCACACTGTTTTTCACTTGATGAGAATGATTAAACTTAAACTCGACTTTGGCCGAACTTCAGCTTTTCTCTGACAGTTTACTCTGACAATGATTCTCCTCTCTGGCCGGTAATTAGTTCACTGGCAGCAGCAGGACTCGCTGAGGTTGAGAGCTGCCGCTTTGAAACACAGCTGGTAAAGCTTGCCCATGCAGAGAAGTTTGGGCATGAGCACAGAACAAGGAGAGGAGAGACGGGAGATGAAATGAGTTCATCACACTCTCCAGGGAGCTGGGCCAGGGCCTCTGTGCTGGTCTGTGTCCACAGGCTGCTGGTTTGCAAACCTCAACACTTTCTCTTACGTTTTATTTTTCAGTGCATTTATCATTAAAGGGAATCTGGTTCTCAGTGGGTTTAAAGGGTTGTGACCTGGACTGCAGCTTAAACTAACTCTGGCTAAATCTATGTTTAACTTTGTACATAATCCCTTTTAAATAAATCGAGCTACACAGATTTAAACGATCTTCACATAGAGTATGGGTTCATCAAACTGCACACAGAGTCCATAGCTGCCTCGTGTTGTGGAACGAGGTCGAGATCAGCGGCAAATTTTGCTTTATTAGTTTCTGAATCTCTCTGGTGCCCGGGGCCTTTCTTCAGCTGTCATAAGGTTTGTGTGAACACAGTGAAACGCTAAAAACTCAGAATGTTGGACAGTGCCTGCAGTCCCTGCAGCTCGGCCTGCCACGATAGTCACTATATTGACCCTTCGTGCAACATATGGACTTGACTTTCATGGTTTTTGTTGACCTCGATATTGTCCATTGTATTTACATGCGTTTATTTACATAAAAATGAATGTCATCAACATTTTAGCCAGCTGCGCTGCTTCTGTACTCTCGTCTAACTTATAGCTAATATGTTGTTACTTTGCACTTTCTGATAACAAAGGCCCCGACTATTGCAGTATTGCCTGGTAAGGAATGAATGACTATGGCCTTATTTAATATTTTGTGCAGTTATTGGTAATGGAGCCCAGGAGTCCATTTTATTTATTGTTTTTGTTGTGTGGTTTTATTTTATTTATGTATTTAGTTAGGATATTTACATTTTTTGACATTCCAATGTCAAAATAATATTAAATATTCTTACAAGGAGGACATGAAGTTAATTGGGGTGAGAGTAGAGGATGCTGAGGATAGAATTAGGTAGAAACAGATGATTCGCTGTGGCTACCCCTAACGGGAACAGCCGAAAGAAGAAGATTAAATATTCTTACGAGGTAAAAGTTCATTGCTCTTTGAAAGGCGGTACTCACCTTATTAAGCTATGATATATCATTGGCATAAAATGCACTTAAAATGACAACAGTGTCGTTTATCCCAGTTATTTCTGGGACAGTATGTTGTGTCAGGCTGCCTGCACCATTGCTGTAAGGATTACCAGAAGGAAACTGCTCCAGGACCTGTTGTATCATTGCTGATGTTGGAAATTGTATTGACAGTAGCACACAGGGTTTTCCCCTGGCGGAGGTGGTGGGTAGCACAGCACCTCCCGTCTGGTCACAGTGGGTCAGTTTAAACTTAACTAGGGCTGCCCCGCAAAAAAATCAGCCTAAAAATGGTGACAGACATCCAGCAAAATGAAACTAGCTTTGTAAGCTATGTTGGCTGACATGATGTCAGCATCTCCTGCAGTAACAGCATCGTGTACACCTTTGTTTATGTCTTGGTAAAGAACTGGTGATTGTGTTTGTAACCTTCTAACTGTTCTTCTCATTTATCTGTATCATCAGCTTCAGGCTCAGAAGCTCCGTCTTGCTAGGAGTCAGGGTCCGTACTACGGCGGCTCATTACCCAACGTCAACCAGATCGGCAGGAACCCACAGGACTTCCAGGTGATGACCTCTGGCTTCCATTACTCTAAATCCTCACTGCCATTTTCTTTCTATTGGTACTACAACATTCACAATCACTACCATTTCTGTGTTTGTTGTGTTTTCTGTTTGTGTTGTGCTCCTGCACCCGTGTCGAAGGTGTTTTCTTCATGTGCTTGTGTTCTGTCTATTTTCATGTGTTTAAGTTGTAATGTGTTGAGCTCTCAGGGCCACCGTAGCTTCTACTGCCCCCGTTATTTATATTAGTGAAAGTACTACCACTAGAACCACTGCTACTGCCTCTGAACAACAACAACAACAACAACACTAATGAAGCAAATGATGCAGCTGTAGCACGTTGGATTTTAGGACATAGTCTGCTGTGTCACCGCAGCCTTCAGCTCTTCACTACCGAGTCATCAGTATTTCCCATCAGCTCTGCAGATTCAGACTCATTTTGTAAGGGAAGTTTTTCATCAAGATCCTCATCTCTCCCTTTGTCTCCTCCGTGGCATATGGCAGCTGACTCTGCCTCAGTTCGTCTGCCCTCCTCCTCTGTCTCTGAGGTCACACCAAGATGAATTTAATTTGGCTGCAGGATGCCTGAGCTCTTCTGGTGCTTCAGAGGATTTGAGAGGTCGAAGCCTCCGCAGCGTATATCATGTTTCTGTGAAAGCAACACTGTTACAGAACAGACTTGGAAGAATGCTCTGGATGTTTGTCTCACAGGCGCGTGAATGCAACAGTAGTTTTGACTGAACCTCACCTGTGGTCTTCCTCCACCAGATTTCAGGCAGATGTGGTGCATTTTTAGATGTGACAGTGAGAACACAATGCTTTTAATTCCTTAATACAGCTTTCCAGTCATTGACGAGGCCTGGAAGATCGCAAACTTCCCTGGAAAACAATGAGTTGTCCTAGGGAAAAAAAATAGTCTGTAACACAGATTGCTGTATTTTACCAGTCCTGCAAATGAGCTGTTTGTCCAGTGTCCCTGGACAAATTCTTTGAACAGCCTAGAGGAATAATGGCACTCAGATGCTGTCTTAACCAGTTTCCAAGGCATCTGTAACAAACCAGCCCACTGTTTTTAAAATTCAAATGAAGTCAACTGCCAAAAGTGGTTTTTAACCACAGACCTGCACTGGAGCTAACAGGAAGTCTTTGAAATTGTCCTTGAAATTGATTTCTTCAAAAGTCTGGCAGCTCTGATAACAGTTGCATTTCACTCTCTCAGTGTAGCTGTTTCTTGTTGAGTATTTATTTATTCCAGTACGGGACATGAGAAATGTTAACTGCATGTGCTTAATCATTCAGACACAGTAAATTCTCTGTCTCTTTCAGGGCCCCTTCCCCTCCACTCTGGAGTCCAGCCGGTTGACACGGCATCATGGTCTGGTGGAGCGAGTCCAGAGGGACCGCCGTTTCATCTCGCCAGTCCGCCCGTACCGCAACCGACAAGTATCCTTCAGTTTGCTGTCACATGTAAATGTACAAGTTGTTTTCCCAATGAAACTGAAGTTTTTACTCAACAAATCCCATGAAAAGATCAGAACCAACAATGTGTTAGTGCGCCTTTTGTTACTTTCTGACTTCCCTGA